GCAGGAACTTTTAAAATAATCACCCAGTAGATTTGTATCTTAAGAGTAGGAAGGGCGTTAGCAAATTGACAGTGAAATTGAGAAGCATAACAAAATACACAGTTCAAAGCACCTAAAATAATGAAGTCCAGTGTTACCAGATGACCTTAAGTAGTGTGTACATTTTTTTCTAAAACTAGCAAAATGATTTTTCAATGTCGTTTAAGGCAAATGGTTTGAGCAGATAGATTCTTAGTTTGTAAACAGACACAGCTGTCTGTAGTCTTACCAATTCAGGCAAATGTCTTGCTTGGCTACTATTAGCGTAAATAATGTGTATTTATGCCAATGTGCTACTTATTCCTGTGCTTGTACAGACATCTGATGCATGTTCACACTCTGTGTGTGTATACGTACATGTGTATATACATGTTTATATATATGTGTGTGTATCCTATATATGTGTCTCGACTGATGGAGGATAGAGCATCTGGAGTAAACTGTTGATCACACTATGATGTTCAGGTATGGGATTTGCTTTCAGGAGAAGTAAAATGGCTTAACATCAGTATGGAAATACTAACTGCAGTGTGCTGAGACACACGGTCTGGTTCGGTCCGCTCAGAGCTGTTGCTCCTAGTGCTTTGCAGAATACCTTCTGCATTGATTAGATCCAGTTCGCACTTTCTGAGGTTATCCTTTACAGCCATTTAGCAGCTAGAAGCTTTTATTTTTACTATTTTGTTTTAAAAGAAAACAGCTGAAGATCAAGAAACTTGCTTCAAAGTAATACTTGCAGCTTCAGCTGCTGCTTTCAAAACTGCAACTGTTGAGTTCATCTTAATCCTTCAGGCTCAAGTAAATTTCTTCATGGATTAAAGATCTGGCTTGGTATCTACTCTGATACTTTAAATGCTTTTCTTATGGCAAGTGTCAGTTGTGTTTCCTTCTTAGCTGTTCCACTTGCATTGCTGGTCTCTGTAGACTTTCCTGGGTTGAGCTGTATCTATGTGACATTTTTATTTTACTGCAAGTTTAAATGTAGGTAGTTCACTTTTTTTTTTTTTTAATCACCTAGTGGATGCCCTCATCCTGTTGCTACTTCTGACACAGGCATTTGTGATTTTTCTGTCAAGGTCCCAGGTGGGGGGGGGGGGGAGTTAGCAGACTTGGTGTGAGCCTTGGTGCTGTCATTCTGGATCTCGGACTTTAAGCTCGGTTGTTGGTATTTGCTGTGCAGTACCAAGTTCTCCAGAAGCTGAAAAGAAAGAAGTGATCACTCTAGCTGGTGCTTCCCCTCCAGCCAGCCCCCGTTTCCATGAACTTCTTCCTTGGGCTATCTCCAGTTGTGTGAAACAGGAGCTCAAGATTGTTTCTGGTGTCAGTTGCATCAAATTTTGTGTTCTGGTTGTGATGAGACCTGCGTGGCAGCCCCATGGGCAAGGATTTGCATTTGTTGTGCTATAGTACTGCAACCTTCTTTCTTGTGAGGAAGAGAAAGCTACAGTGCAGATTTTGTTCCTTGTATTACCAAGCCACATAGGAGGTAGGGAAAAGCTTGCCTGCAGCAGGGACTGGAAGGTATCAGGCTCAGCACACATCAGTACTCCCTGAGTATCCTCCAGTTGCCAGTAGGGTTACTGGGGCTGCTCTTGCTGGAGCAATCTTTGGAGCTTAGCTAGAGGCCTTTCCCAGAGGACTGAGCTGAGAGGGGCCTGGGAAATCCTCTACAAATATTCCTTCACTTGTCTCTGCTGCTGTACCAAGAAAGGGGAAATGCAGCTCCCTGTGTGGCCAGACTACCGCCAGCAGCATCGGTATCCCCATTACCCCATAGCTTCAGCATCACATAAGTCCTGCTTTGATAAGCTTTTTGTTGTAGCTGTGATAGCCAGAGCATGGTTTTAAATTGAAGTTTTGAATATTGTGAGTCTGATCTGACATGTCGATGGCTAAACACTGGCAAGTAGGATTTCACAGAGCTGTTAAAAATAGGTACTACATGGGTGGAGGGACGATAGAAAGGAGAACATTCCACAGTAGATACATAATAGGTAACCTTTATAGCATATCTGAAGCCCAGTCTTCAGAAGGAAGAGCATGCAGTATTGTGCATGGTCTTGAAAGTACAAATGTTGACAGTAGGTGGGAAAAAACACTGAAGCAGGAAGTTTGGAGAGAACTTTTCAGGACAAGCAGAAGGAAAGAAAAAGATTGTTGGAGACAGCACTGGCATGGTGGGCTGGAGCAAGCTGTGGGAGGGTGTCAAAGCAGTTACCATTCCCTTCCTCTTTCCCTCCCCTAGAAATCATTTGCTTCACCGGGAGTACGTTGTGGTTTGGGTTTTTTGTTTGTTTTGTTTTTATTTGCATGCCTGGAGTGTGTGCGTTTCAGCCACATCTCTTAAGTCACCATTGTCCATTGTGTACTTCAGCAATATGGCTGTTAATCCTCTGTCGTTGCCCTCTCGGCTGTGCACGTACAGAAAGTAATGTGGTACCCAGGTCTGTGAGCCTGCAACTGATGGAATCATTTCTAATTTAAACTGATGTTTTGGGAGCAAATTCTGTGCCGTTGCTTTGCCAGAAGGAGCGTACAAGCCTGGCAGAGAACTGTGTGTCCTGGGAGTCTGAGAAGGTCCTGACCGGGTTCACTGTTGCAGGGCATGTAGGTAAATCTACGTGCTGTTGTCGGGACAATTGAGGCCTGACTTACAAATTGTTTAGGCTCGTGACTTACAAATTACTTAAAGGGTACCTCGTGAAATTGATGGCGGATGTGCAGTGGGTCGCGCTCATGGTGTTGGTTGATGCTTGAGAAGGAGATCTTAGATGCAATTCCCAGGTTTTCTGACGACCTACTGAATGTCTCAAAGGCAGGCTGTTCGGTTTGGCGATGGTAGTATTGTTCGTGCAGGGTACCTTTATTTTGGGAACGGTGTTGCTGAATTCAGGGGTCAGGTCCAGTTCTTGTTTTATTAGGAGAGCGACTGCTACCTCTTTTGGAACTCTTGGGTAAATTAGATGTTTATGGTGCCAAGTGATTTTTTCAATAGTAAAGCTATAATTATTTTTCAGAACTCGTCATGGAAGCGTTCTGACCCTATAATCTTGTCTAACCTTAATAGGACTTTACAGACTCCAACCCAAGTTCCAGTGGTTGTTTCTCCTGGAAATCAGCAGCTGCATACTGTGACACTCCAGACAGTGCCTCTTACTACAGTGATAGCCAGCACAGATCCAGCCTCAGCAACAACGCCCCAAAAATTCATTTTACAAGCCATTCCGACTTCACAACCCATGACGGTTCTTAAGGAAAACGTCATGCTACAGCCTCAGAAGCCAGTCTCGCCCCCTTCCTCAATTGTGCTGAGCCCAGCACAAGTTAAGCAGGTGCTCACCAGCAGCGTGCAGACAATTTGCAATGGAACAGTCAACATGGCTTCATCTCCATCCTTCAGTGCCACTACCCCCGTGGTGACGTTTTCGCCTAGCAGCTCGCAGGTGGTAGCTCATCCATCGGGCACAGTGATCACTTCGGTTATAAAAGCACCAGAAACGAAACAGATTGGCGTACAAGGAGTGGTAAAAGAAGATGACAGTGACAAACTAGAGGATACCGAGCAGTCGGAGCAGAGATTCCAGCAGCAGCCATTTGTGATGGTAGTGTCCAGTTCGAATGGTTTCCCATCTAACGTGCAAGTGAAGCAAGAAAACGAGCCATTGGAACCCAATTCATATTAATATTTTTTTTTTTTTAAAAAAAAAAAGACCCTGTGGATGATTATTTTCATAAATGTGATGGGACCTTTTCAGTTATGTATATATGATTTGATTCTGAAGCAAGATGTTGCAAAGCTACTTAATTTCTGCAGTTAATTGTTAGAATTCAGGCTTTAGAATGGATTTTGATTTTCTGTTAATTGCTAAATGTTACCATATAAATAAAATCATATCTTACTCATGTTTCAGAATACAGGCATGAAGGAACATGCTTTTTACGCTATGAAGACTTTCTCCCGAGGTTGTTGGCCAAAGTTTCAAACTTCTTTCTTACTGTGCGTTCTCAGTCTGTTGCCGATTTACATTGCAGTAATGTTATTGTAACCTTTTTTGTTTAATCTGTACATGTATCACTTAACTTTTGAAACAACAGTTACTTTTAGTGGGACATTGTCATTCCATGTGTAGTTTTTATGATCAAGTATCTGTTTTCAAACTGGTGAATTACACCAGTTTTAGCCTTTGATAACCAGGTATCCTCTTGCATTTTTTGCAGCACAAGCTCTTGTGTGTGCAAAATGGAATATACACTCCTATTGAGAGTACACAAAACATTTATTCCAGTAATGGACAATGCCATGTCTATATTTTGTATGAAAACATCAGATATATTTAATTACAGGAGCTAACAGCATCACTACAGGTGCAAACGTTTCATGCCATTTTGCGACTATGAAGCTTAACAATCTTGCTTCCTACTTCAGATTATTTTGTAAGGGGGGAGGGAAATTAAATATATACAATTTATGCAGGTATTTGGAGATTAATACTGCTAAGAGTTCTTTTTTTTTGATTGTAAATAATGTACATTCTATGTCACAGGGAAGTTTTTTCAGCTAATTTGTTTCCATACAAATTTTTGATAGATGCAGATAAGATCATTATGTTTAGAGTTCTAATGTTATATGTATTCATATTACAGAGTGAATTTGTATTTAAAGACAAATTTTTAAATGATGGAGCCCTCTGAACCTTGGGTCCTTGTCTTTTGTATTTTTAATTGGTTTATTATGAAAATAAATCAAGTGGAAAAACATTTTTCTGTATTTACTCTGAAATGTTTTTATATTTTTATAATGTTTTGATGCTCATCATATATGACCAAAATACACTGAGAAATAGCACAACGTGATTAATGAGTGTGGGTCTGTAGTGGGACATGAGCAATTCATGCATCACTTCTGAACAGACTTGGACACAACCAACATGCTGTGGGTGTCCTTTGAAATCGCAATACTGTACACTTTTGTAGCTCAGCTGAAAGTTGAGCTAAGTCCCGTTCTCAGTTAAGTCCGAGAACAGGACTTAAACATCTCATTTTCCATCTCTTCCCAGTATGTTACAGACAAAGAACCCGAAACTTTGAACGTAACTCTGGGGTGCCGTTCATCACAAAGGTCTTTGTAGCCTGTAGAATGTAACTGTTGTCCAAAACTCCTGGGGCTTCAAAACCTCGCATATTGCAGTGTTTCAACAGAAGGTGGATTAAAAATAAATACAATGCCTGGTAAGATTAGTGGAATGTAAAATTTAAAGGAAATATAACTTAATGATTGAATTCATGTAGGAGTTCTGTTGATTGGTTCATAAGGTTAAATTTAAAGATGAGCATATGAGTACTGGAAAAGCTGATGGGACCAGAACTGTGGCAGAGATAGTTTAGTCGAGTTGAATAGAAGTGACTCCACAAACTGTACCGAACCAGTTCTCTGCCACAGCCGCCCTGTTTCTTGGCAGTTGAAACTGCCCTGTGGAATTCGGTGTTTCTTCCCGCAGACTCCCATGCAGTCAGGCTCCCACCTGCAAATCCAACGTGCCTCACCCTGTTTTCAGGAAGGCCGGCCGTACCCAAACCGAAGCGACTGCTGCCAGCTGACCGGTGGCTGGTTACCTGGCAGCATGCCCCGCAGGTGGGGAGTGCTGGCAATACTGCTGGGAGCGTGGGTGAGTGTTGTAGAAGTGCTTGTGGTACAGTTCTCATCCCGAGGGCTGTTTCAGATTGATGAAGGCACTGGAGAGGGAGGCTAGTTGGTTTTTGTCAGACTATAAAATAGGGACTTTTGCCTGTAGTGCAAGTATTTCATAATACTAGGAAGCCTGAAGTGGTAATGCTTGACTGGCATTAGTGGTTTTAAACGTGGGTAAGTTGTTTGACTTGATTTACTGGAAACCTGAGAAAAAAAGCCCCACACTAAGGTTACAACTTTGACAACAAATCTTCATGCTATAAACGCAAGTATTACAAAGGGGAAATGGTTAGCTTATGTCAGTAGGAGTGGACAAAGTCTCCAGCAGCAGACTCTGTTGTGTAACCAACAGTAAACGAAAATCGCCCCCTTCCCATGTCCCTCGGGCTCCAAGTCCGCCAGCTGGGTGTACCCGCACTTGCAGCTCTCCTTAGTACAACAGTGGAAGGGAGAAGCTGGAGTAAATCATAAAAAGAGGGTTCCCATTCGGAGTTTGAGGAGCTCCTCCCCTCTCACAGCTGCCTTTGTGCCTGCAGCAGCCGCCAAACAAAACGCAGGATCTCAAACCCCAGCCGCTGCTGACTCAGAACGGAACAACTGAGGCAGCGGAGCCGAAAAAGGCACTTCTTTTTCGGAGGCGCTTCACAGAAGGGGTGCCCGAGGAGGAGGAGGGAGGGAAGCAGGCCGGGGGCT